AAATTTTTTTATTAAAAATTCTAATAAAAAAGAAAATAAGCCACTGTCAAGAGCCAAAGCAATCAATACGTCCAAACTCAGATATAACAAGAATGTTGGAACTATCAGACAAGGAATTTAAAATAACTTATGATTAATATGTTAAATGCTATAATGGAAATGCTAATATTCATATATAGATGAGGAATTTTAGCATTCAGCTGGGAATTTTAAGAAGGAATCACATAGAAATGTTAAAAATAAAAATAAAGACAAAGACTGCCTTCAGCAGGTTCTTAAGTAGACTCAACACAGCCAACTGAAGACTCAGCACACTTGCAGATAGGCGAATGGAAGTTACCCAGTCTTCAACACAAAGACAAAAAGAGCAGGGAAAGGGAAAGAAACAAAACTAGCACATCATACCTGTGGAAGACAATATCAAATAGACTAAAACATGTATAATTGAATCCCTGAAGGAGAAGAGTGAGAACAGGACAGAGAAATATTTGAAAAACTAATGGCTAAATTAAAAAAAAAAAAAAGTAAAAGATATCAAACTACAGATTCAAGAAGCTCAGAACAAGAAGCTCAGAATCTTAAAATGGCTACCCATCCTGCCCTCAAGGCAAGCAGTTTACTTACCCTCAGTCACTCCCCACGCGGGCCACCAGATGCCGCAGTCTGGCTGGGCACAATTCAGGAGCCACTTGTCAAAAGAAACTAACTATTTTTAGAACTACAAACGCCAAAAAAAACAGCTCCTCAGGAAAAAACCCTCAGAGCCCAACTGCCACCACCGGCTTCCACAAGCCTCTCACCCACACCAACTTCTCCACCTCCCACAATCCTCCTGCTCTTGAGGCCGATTGGCTGGGTTGCATGGGCGGAGCCAAAGAAGTCCCCCAATGAGCAGCTCCGGGGAGGAGCCAATCAGCTAGATGTTGCTGGGGCCGCTGTGAGCCAATTATCAGCTGGCAGCTGGAAGTTTGCTGGCAGCTGGAAGTTTGCTGGGGCCCCTTTGGCTGTGGCTCTCAACACAGAACCTCAAGAAGGATGAATAATGACAACAAGGGCTGGGGTTGTGCTCAGTGGTAGAGTGCTCGCCTAGCACCCTTGAGGCACTGAGTTCAATCCTCAGCACGACATAAAAAAATACATTGTATCCACTTAAAACTAAAAAATAAATATTAAAAAAATAATAACAAACATTCAAGTTACTGAAAATCAAACATAAAAGAGAGAATCTTGAATGTTGAACACAAAGAAAAGACCACTGACTCCAACTGAAATCAAATTAAAGCAAACTTGTGATTTCCACCTTCCGGGCATGTATGAGCTCTACTATTGTCATTTGAAAATTGGGGCTGTGGCTGTAGCTCAGTGGTAGAGCGCGTACTTGGTATATTTAAGACTCTGAGATCAATCCTAAACACCAAAACAAACTAAATAAAACAAACAAAAACAGACTGTGACTAATTAAAAATGTACATTGTAAGTCTGTGAGTAACAATTAATTTTTAAAAATTAAATAGTTTATAGTAGCGATAAAAAAGAAATTATATATTAAATCCAGTATCAAAAATAAGAGAATGTGAAGTATCTCATTGTTAAAAATATTGCTTTTATATTGAACTGATATATTTATCAAAATTGAAAATCTAAAACACACTTCTATTTGAACATAATATGGGAAAAAAGGTAAAATTCTCAGTCTGAGGCAAGAGGATCACAAGTTCAAGGCCCTAAACAATTTAGCAAGACCCTGTTTCAAAATAAAAAGTAAAAAAGGCTTAGTGGTTAAGTTCAATCTCTAGTACAAAATAACCAACCAACCAAACAAACAACAACAAAAAAACTCCCCAGAAAACAGAAAAACAAAACAAAAAAAGGAGGCAAGGAGAAAAGAAAGATAAAAGAAAAATGGAACAAAAAACATGAAACAAATATATTACAAGTAAGAAAAAGGTAATTTTTTAAAAATCAGTTTTTATCATATAGCTCTTTATTTATTTTTATGTGGTGCTGAAGATCGAAATGATTGCAATACATCATGCACAAATTGATAGAAAGGAGAAGTAAATAAATCCACAGTTACAATTGGAGACTTCAATATTCCTTTTGCAATAATCAATAGAATTAGTAGACAGGGCTAGGCGCAGTGGTGCACGCCTGTAATCCCAGTGGCTCCTCGGGAGGCTGAGGCAGGAGGATCATGGGTTCCAAGCCAGCCTCAGTGAAAACAAGGTGCTAAGCAACTCAGTAAGACCCTGTCTCTAAATAAAATACAAATAGGGCTGGGAATGTGGCTCAGTGGCCAAGTGCTCCTAAGTTCAATCCCTGGTTTCCCCCACACCCTGCCCCCCAAAAAAGGCCTTTTTTCCAATATGATTGCATGAAGGGTTAGAGCTTCAACATAGGAATTTGGGGTTGAGGACATGGCAACTTTAGCTTGCATATGTATTTTATTATATGGTACCTGTTTCTTCCTCCACTAGATTTTGAGATCCTTAAGTATGGGGAATTTTGCTAATTTATTTGTTCATCTCTAATACTTCATACACAATAAACACTCAATAAACATTTTAAATTAATAATTAGATGGAGTCATTCACTTCTGTACTCATATCATAGATAATGATATCTCTATGCATCTGTCTTCCCAAACTATAAATCTTTTTAAAAATTTTAGTTGTAAGTGGACACAATACCTTTATTTTATCTATTTTATTTTTATATGGTGCTGAGGATCGAACCCAGTGCCTCACACATGCTAGGCAAGTGCCATACCACTGAGCTACAACCTGAGCCCCAGACTATGAATCTTAACGCTTTTTTTTTTTTAACTTTTTCCTTTAATATTCTATGTTCAATGTATAGTTACTGTCAAGACTTTTACCTTCTAAAGGTTTTTCAAATCCATTCCTTCTCTGGCTCCAGGGGTATATCTTACCCTTCCTCATTTTACAATTTGTTTCAGTTGTTTCTTAAAGGGGCTTCTGTCTTCCAGTGTTTACCCATCCAACTCATACTTTGTTGCTAGATTAATCTTTCCAAAGTGCAGTCTAATGTATCACTTCCTTTTAGTATCTTTTCATAGCTTTAAGATTTACATCATTTTGTTGTTGTTGTTATTGTTTTCTGGTACTAGGTATTGAAACCAGAGGCACTTTACCACTGAACTACATCCCCAGCTCTTTTTATTTTGAGACAGTCTCACTAAGTTGCTTAGGGCCTAGCTTGGTTGCTGAAGCTAACCTCAAATTTGTGATCCTCCTGCCTCAGCCTTTGGAGTCACTGGGATTGTAGGTGTGTCCCATTGCATTCAGCAGGACCTACATCTTTTTTTTTTTAAGTATTTATTTTTTAGTTATAGGAGGACACAATATTTTATTTTTATGTAATGCTGAGAATCAAACCCAATGCCTCACACATGCTAGGCGAGCGTTCTATCTCTGAGCCCCAGCCCCAGCCCAGGACCTACATCTTAAATCTTAGCCCGTCAGAGTCCTTGTGACTGGCTCTGTCTATGCACTACTTCTTGATGCATTTCTTAAATACATGTTCCCATTTCATATCTTTAGCATGTGCATTACCCTCTTTCTGGAGTGCCTTTGCAACATGTCAATCTTATGATTTTTTTTTCTTTTGGTGCTGGGGATTTAACCTGGGACCTCATGAATGCTAGGCAAGTGCACTACCATTGAGCTATACCCCCAGTTTTTTATTTTTATTTTGAGACAAGATCTTATCAAGTTGTGCAGGCTGACTTCGAACTTGCAATACTCTTGCTCCAATCCCTCAAATAGCTGAAATTTCAGGCATGTGCCATGATGCATGTTGTAGTTGATTTTTATATTCTCAAAATCTAATGTGTAGAAGGTACTCAATTAATGTTTAGTGAATGAATGAATCAGTTATATGATTTTATACCAGAAGTAAATATATATTCACAACTGCCATGTTCCAGGTGCTGGAAAATCATAGCACGTATGTTATGATAATGGGTAGTTTTTGAAGAAAAACTCCCTCATACTCTTATTTTAAACCCCTTCCCAGAATTGTTGCTGTTGTTTTGATGGGTGCCAGCATCTTCAGGAAGTTAAGAAGTTGTGTGTACATGAAATTGCAGTATAGATTTTAATAAAAGTTTAATTATTGGCTTTTTGGTCCTTATGACAAAAGTTTCTGATTGGTCTTTTCTCCTAGTCTCAATTATAAGTACAATTATAAGTACTCATTAATTAATTGGACTTTTTAAAAAATATTTATTTATATTTTAGGTGTAGATGGTCACAACACAATGCCTTTATTTTTATGTGGTGCTGAGAATTGAACCCGGGTCCCGCCCGTGCTAGGGGAGTGCTCTACCGCTGAGCCACAATCCCAGCCCTAATTGTACTTTTTTTGAAGTACCTTTTTAAAGGATAGAGACAAGTTTGGAACCTGAGTTAAAGTCCGCAGGACCAACACCTACAGATTATAGTTAAGAGTTAAAGTAGATCTTGTACTTTTAAAACAAGAATCATAGACCCCTTGGAATCTGAGTTTCTAAGCTGACTTTGCCTCTGTGGTTCTTGTTCCTGCTGTGTGTGTGTATGTGTGTGTGTGTGTGATGAATCACATGAGTATTCTCTACTACTGACTGTAGCAGAATTTGCAGGTTCTGCTGTGTATGTCTACACTGACTCAGCTGAACTCTTGCTGGGCTTCTCTGTCTGCTTTTGATCTTCAGCAACAGTGCCTGTCAAATCAGTTGCAGTTTCCCTGCTATAAACACCTGGAATGGTTGAGAAATGATGGTCCTTGTGATAATGTTCATGCCTGAAGCACCTCTTTTCCTCATGGTTCTAGTGGTGATTTCCTTTGGATCTTGTCCTATGGACATGGCATTTTGCAAGACTGTGAGAGCTTTGCTGTGACCTCATGCAGTCTCATTCTCCTGAGACATTTTGCGTAACTAAGTGAGGGGTGTTATGGAACAAATTGAATGTCCTAACATAGAGTCTCTTTGATTGCAGAATTGCCTCACTCACAGAGTTCTCCAGCTGTGAGCAGCACCTGTACAAAAGTGCTCTATTTCACTGACCGGTCACTTACACCCTTCATGGTCAATATACCAAAGAGGTGAGATGCTAGGATCATCTTTTTCTTTTTCTTTTTGTAAAATAAATAAAAGGAAGGGCAGAACCATTGGTTTCTGCCCAAATGAACAGTTGAAAGGTGTTTTAAAAGCCGCACGTCTATGAAGAAGAGCCCAGGAGATTCAAGTTCCAACTTTGTCACTAACCAGTGACATTATAAAGGACAAATCATGATCTACTCCTAGATACAGGAGTAATAACAGTACTTCCAATCCTGGTAATAAAGCAAGTATGTTCCAGGTTTGGAAACATGTTTTTTAAGTGTTCAAAATTGGTCTGCTGATAGACAGGGATTGTGTCTGGCTTTTACTCACTGATCTTTGTTACTATTTAATGAGTGCAACTAATCCACATTGAGAATTTATGTTGAAAGCTTTCCAAAAACTAAGTTAATATACTTCCTCCTATGATAATATAGATTTTAAAAATCTGGAGCCAAGTACTGAGAAGTTATGGAAATTTTCCTTCCCAGAGAATCTACTTATCTGGTCTGGGTTGAAAGACAGCTTTCTAAAGCTAGACAGATAAAGATAATGATACCTGATTTAATTCTACCAGCCTAGGGAACTGGAATATTGTAGCAAAGAAGGAAATCAAGAGAGCTTAAGTATATTTATAGTTATTTCACAAATTTGATTTCAGAGACCTTATGTCTTACTTCCAAAGAAAAACAGAAAAGTGCTCTGGCTACTGCTGAAGCAGTAAATCTACTTTAAATTCTCAGCTCACTGGATTTTTAATGCTATTTTCATGTCCTAGTGGTGACTGGTTTCCTAACCTCTGCTATTTTAGAGTTATCTTGGTTTCCAGGGGCAGTGACCTAATAAGGTCATGCTGTTTCTGCCTGTTGACTTTGGCATGGGCCTGGTTTAAAGCTAACACCTTATCTTTCCAACTCATTATTTTGTTGATACTCCCCTTTTGTTGCAGGTTGGGAGAAGTGACTTTGAAGGATTTTAAAGCAGCTATTGATCGGGAAGGGAATCATCGGTATCACTTCAAAGCATTGGATCCTGAGTTTGGCACTGTCAAAGAGGAGGTACAGAATCCATGGGGAATCTGGGTAGTATTACTGGTCATACTAGAACTCCACAACCTCCTGTTTAAGGACTAGTACTCATGAGTACCTAAATTCCCTAATCTGGTCAGAGGAACTTTCTGGCACCTTTGGTCTAATAAAGTCATAGAATGGCCAAGATGATAGATAGCTTCTTCAGTTCTAGAACTTGATCATCTTGACTGAGACCTTGGATAGTATTTTTATTTTGAAAAGGAAAAGGTTTTATTTTGTTAAGGAAAATAAAAACCTCAAGACAATAAAATAAAGACCTTTTCTAGCTGTAGCTGCATCTTAGAATTTTTTCCTACATCGAACAAAATAAATAAACAGGCACGAAGACTTAGAACTAAATATTATGTGGTGGTGGTTTCTCCTAGTGAGAACAAAGAACTTCTGGATAGCCATCTATGCTGATTTCCAACTCCTTGAGTATTTTTTTTTTTATCCTGTGCCTCTCTTTATAATCCATTTGCCAAACATAGCCATTTTGGGGGAAGATAATTCTGGATTCTGCTGTATTATTTATTGCAAATACTTTTACTGTGGTTACTGAATGAAAAAGTTGGAAAACCTAATATTTTGCAAAATTCCTCACTGAAAAGGTTCCTCACTGAAATAAATGTTTTAATACCCTGTTTTATTAATTTTGTTAGTGGCTTAGGAAATGAATTGAATAAATGAATGAAAAGAACTGTGTCTCAGAGTTGGTCTTCTTTCCAACCCTTTCTTCACAATGTCCAATACCAAAATTTTTCCCTTTCTCATTTTAAAAATGTGTCTACTGCTGCTTTGTCCTAAGAAGCCCAGGGTAGTCTGTGATTCACAATTCATTAATTCTTATATATCTCTGAACAAAGCAGCATTAGGGATTTTTTAAAAAACATTTCATAAATGTGGAACTAAGGCAAAACAAACAAACAAATAAAATACCAGTTGCAACATCAGGGACAAAACCAAAGAGAAATAAACACTCAAGCTTCGTTTTACTTTTTTTTTTTTTTTCTTTTGCAGTACTAGGGATTGAACCCCTAGGTGCTCTACCACTAAGGTACCTCCCCAGCCTGTTTTTATTTATTTTATTGGTACTAGGGATTGAATCCAGAGGCACTTTACCACTGAGCTACATTTCTAGTCTTTTTTATTTTTTAGAGTCTCACAAAGTTGCTGAGGCTGGCCTCAAATTTTCAGTCCTCCTGCCTCAGCCTCCCAAGTCATTGAGATTAATGTTCTATAATTCCCAGTGTTGCTTCTATACTCTATCCTTAATGTTTGCATTCTTTTATCAGCAGCAGTTGTTTAGTGAAACTACCTACCATACTCTGTATTTTTTTTCACTGTGGCTTTTTTGTTTACCTAGGTTTTTCATGATGATGATGCCATCCCTGGATGGGAAGGGAAAATTGTAGCCTGGGTGGAAGAAGACCATGGAGAGAATTAATGCTGAGTATTGGAACCTGGTCACTCCTGGCTGCTTCACTCAGGAAAGGGGACTTAAACCAGAGTACATTAAGAAGTTTCTAATTTGTGCTGCCAAAACAGAAGCTTCTCCAAGTATGATGGTTATCTGCTAGACCTGTTTCTGTGCCTGGCATGTCTGGTACTTAAAATCCCTGTCCATATGTGGACCATGGGTTCATCTGGAGTTCCTTGTCCATGGGAAGTGTTTTGTTCACTCTGAGGATAACAAACCGAAGGCCTTAACCAATGGGGATGGATGATCCCGCTCCTGTAGGGGCATGGCTGCTATTATCTGGAACCTAGGAATTGGATGCATTACTCCGGTGTGTTACAGTATTTTAATTGGCCTCAATGGTTGCAGCAATCAGAGTCCCAGCATTGTACTCACAGACAAGGCAAAGGTACCAACTTTTCTGCTTCTTTGCAGATACCACAAACCAAGAATAACTCGTGAGGTGGTACCAAAGATGAAAGCCCATTCTTCAATAATTGTTTGAACTGAACATGGATGGTGCTGAATTTTTGATTGGATGGAAAAAGGGCTGCCCCATATTGTGCTATTCTATTCTGAAACCATAATTAAGACCTTGGGCTGCCTCTTCTGGTCTTATCTGGTTCTGCATCTTGTCATTCAGCCCACATAGGGCATATTTCATGTACTGCTAGTTTTCTCTGGGGACTCTTAAACTTTAGAGCCATTTATTTTTCTTCCAACAGATGAACTTTGTTTTTGAAAAGAATAAGGAGTGAAAGGCTCCTTAAAAATCCAGGCGGGTATGGAAAGGTGCTGCTACCCATATCTTCTTAACTTTGTCTCATGACTTTCTTTAACTCATAACATCTTCTTTGCAGTTAAGAGGAGACAGACCATTAATTTCAGTGTTTCTTTGTGATTTATGCGTATTGAACACGAATTACTGGTCTGCCCCTCATTTCAAAGCTGGAGTTATTTTCTACTATACATTTAGTCTAGGCTGATCCTCTAGGGCATAATAGAAACCATGGGGCATGGAGCATGAGTTGTAAATGGGAAAGTTGATTCAGGGTGAAGAAACCTAGAATCATTTCGCATGTGCAACACTGTCAAGTGTAGAAGCTACAAGTGTTCAATTTTCAGAGTTTATTTAACAACCTGAATTTTCTCATTCATCCACCAGTACCATCAACCACTCAGCCATTATTCATATATATATATATGTATATATATACACATATATATATATGTATATTAAATACACACACACACAAACTTCCAAAAGCAGTCTGGACCACCAATGTACACTGCCAAATAGAAGAGTAGGACAGATCTCAGTTCTGGGTTCTTGAACCTATCTGTGTCCAATTCATCTCCCCTTTTCAGCCACTTGAACAGACTACTCTTGGAACTCTTGAAATAACATCTTGTTTTATATAGATGTGTCTTTTAAAAATAGTTCATGTTTGGAGAATTCTTTTGTACTCATTTGCTTTTTGTCTGAGAACCATGTCTATTTTTATAACTCAAGTGTGAGTTCTATATACTCTCACATTCTGTATACTGTGTCGCATTTTCTAGAGAACCCAGTAGCTTTTATACAGTCTCTTCTTACACCTCTGTGGTTTCAGAACAAACTTTATTTTATTACAATTACACTAATGGCCACTAATTCCTGTCTGATTCTACTTGCTATTTTAGTTATGGAGGTAGTTCTATGTAATCCAGTTTATTACTCTTCTAGCAGATAGAGTTCAAAAGGCATCAGGTGTCTTTGAGTAAGTTTACCTGGTCTTCTATTAAAGAATGATTTTTTTTTCGTCAGAAATAACTGGGAAAGTTTGGGAAAGCCAGCCATAGCATTATGAAATTAAACAGAATTAAACATTATGAAAGCAAACAGAAGAAAACAGTATATTTTCAGGTTTTTTTTCCTCCTCCCCCAAGAAGTCTGGAAAAAGTTCTTATGTCACCAGTTTCTCTGTTGCATGAATTTTAGTGTTTTGCTCTATGACAGCATGAGGGTTATCAGGCCAAAAGTTTGTTACTGTATTTACAGTAAATTTATCTTGAATGTCTGTCTCTTAAATCAGTTTTTTCTTTCAGTGAACAGTCTTATCATTATGTGGATTTTTAACTTTTCAGGAAAATTAAATCAGAAAAATTTCAGTTCTCTACTTTTGTGTTTTATCTCTTTTTTGAAAAGGAGCTACATGGCCTTCATCCCTCCATAAAGAGTGTAATTTGAATTCAGGGGAGAACACAAAAGATAACTTCCCAACTTTTAGCTCATGTACCATGGATAATGACTAAGCATCCTACTGGAGGACATCACTTTCATAACTGTGTGAATTGTTGTAATCATTCTGGTTTCTAAAGTGAGAGGAGCTTCTGAGCAGGTATAGGCATTGATTCATTGTATTTCAATAGACTTCTATTTGGCGGCATTCTAGGGTCCTTGTGACTTATGTATAGTGTTGTCCTCTACTGCTACTGGGATAGACCATCCCACTACTGCTAAAGTTCTCTTTCCGTGAGAAAAAGTAAAGAACTAGAATGTTTATAGAGTTCATAATTTCTAAACTGTGTTTGGTTAAAAACAAAACTAGTGGAGAACTCAGTTCTTTAAAAAAAAAAATCATTTAAAAACTGAAGACTGGTTCTCGGTTCATTCCCTAAATTAGCTGGGATTAGAACACTTCACAATTTGTACCTAAAGAATTTGGTTTTAATACACTTGGTAATGGTAATCCTACTTATGAACTTTTCAGCTCTTTTTGACTGAGATGGTTGTAAGGGAAAATATCTTTATGTTCTACATTCAATCTAAGAGGACTATACTTAAAAGCATTTGTTCATAATTAAAATTATTTTCATTTTTTTCCATTAAATAAGTATTATGATTGCACACTCCTTCAATTGTCTGAATTTATGTAAGAGGTATAGCTTGCTTAAAATGCATATATATGTAAAATTATATTTTCTTAGAAACGTGGACGTTTGCAACCATTGCTTTCAAAGAGATTATTATTGTGTATTCTCCATTTTACAGTGTTTTCATGAAAACTATGTTATACCAGCAGCTTCTGATTATTAATAACCAGTTTTAACTGCCTGTACCAGATTTGTGAATTAAAACACACAGAGAGAATAAAATGGAGTTTGCAAACAAAATCCCATCAATCATTTTCATTTATTGACTGAGATTAATCATAAAGCCATTACATTTAGTGAAGGCAGATTTCCTCAAGTGTTCTCCCTGGTAGCATGTTTACTCATTATCTGGAGAGTAGAGATGAAGATTACTTTATTGCTACAGATAGTTTACTACTGGTATTTCTAATTAAGCACAAAATAGGTTATTATGATCAAAGGATTATGTAATTTTGCTCTTCTTTTGAAATTATATGTAAATACACAAATACATTTATTTATTTATTTTGGGTGGTACTGAGAATCAAACTAAGGGCCTCACATATGCTGGGCAAGTGCTTTACTACTAAGCAACATCCTCAGCCCATAAATGTAAAAATAAAAGCCTCAGAGACAAAAGAAGTCTCTAATTTGCAAATACAAACACTAAGGAAAGATTCAGAGATTTCTTTTTCTTTTTTGATGCTGAGAAATGAACCCAGAACACTATATGCTATTCCACTAAACTACACCCCTATAGCCAAAAATGTGTATTTACTTATCATTTTCAGATGAAGTCTCACTGTCTTACCTGGGCTAGTTTCCTCCTCTTGGTGGGCTCAAGTGTGGATCTTGTGAATGGCAAACTACAGGTTAGCACTAGAACTAGAATTTTCAAATCAATCTGAAAGCTTCAAAATTTAAGTAGGCTCTATTTAGCACTGCAGTTTAAATGTGTGATAAATCTATACCTTTAGCCTTGAGTGTTTTTGTTTGGCTTTTTTTGGGGGGAGGAGGGTAACTTATGATTGAACCCAGGTGTGCTTAACCCTGAGCCATATCTCCAGCCCTTTTTATTTTTTATTTTGAGGTAGGGTCTCAGTAAGTTGCTTAGGGCCTCACTAAATTGCTGAGCTGGCCTCAAACTTGCAATCCTGCTTCAGCCTTTTGAGTTACAGGGATTAGAGGCATGGGCCACCCCACCATGCCTGGCCTGAGTACATACTTTTAACTATTAATTGGCTATCCCATCATTATGTTACTGTTAAATATGTTCAAAACAATTCAAAATATTTCAGTACCAACTAACATCTCTTTCCATCTACCTACTTTGTATCAGTGATATTTCCATTCTATTTAGGACTTTTTGAGTCTTTTAGTTTTCAATTTTCTTTATCCAATCTGTTTAGGCAACTCCAGGCTTGTTCTTTTAGGACTTGAAAACAAAATTCCATTAATCAAATTCCTAATTCTAGGATCAACTTGCCACCCCTGGACTATTTAAGCTGTGCTCTCTTACAATTTAGCTACACCGAAATCAAAGTACATTCAAAATGCAAACTATTATTGAAAAATGCAAAACAAGGTTTATGCAAGCCTACTCAAGTGAACAGTAAAACTGCAGATCACCTAATACTTTATAAAAAATGCTTAGATATAACCTTTAAAATGCAGTGGAAGTAGCAAGATATTTTAGTCAATTAAAAATAGTTTCAGCATTTTTATAACCACTTATTAAGTTACAGTATAAGCCATTTCATTAATTAATCTTCCATTGCTTCTTCCAATTGTTACTCATAAGTAAAAATTTTACAAAATTACTACTCAATTTTAATTATTTCAAACATGCATTTTCATTTAATCTGGAAATTTTCTCAGTTATGTCTACATAAAATTGTTGGGCAGTTGTGCCTGCTTAAACATTCCCAATTTAAGTAGGTACGAAATAGTCTCATGAGGCTTTCTTTGTTATTATTCCAAATTAATTATCAGGGAAGTTGAATGCTTTCAGACTTTGATTTCCCCCCAATTTCTTCTTGTGTTCTTGGTGTTCCCTGACTGACCATGTGTACAATGGGGACTTCCTCCCAATGTCACCTTCAGCTTAGAAATAATGAGCTGTTTTCTAATTATGAAATAATTGTACAATAGAGGTGTACCTAACAAATTGTGTACATAAGTCTTCGTTCATTAATTCAAAAATGCATTTAGCACCCACTATTTACCAGGTACTATATATACTATAACTCTGAAGATGGCCAAGAACAGTACAAAGATTCCTGCCCCCACTGGCATAGTTTGGTTTTGACATGAAATACACTCATGAGCCACATAACGGTGTTTGGTTAATGATCTACCAAATATACTATGGTGAGCCCTTAAGATTATATTGCCTAGTGACACTGTAGCCACCTTTGTTTAAATGCACTCTACGATGTTCACACAACCACAAAATAGACTAACAATAAATTTCTCATGATTGCACCTTAAAGCAAGGCTTTTTGGCTATTTAAAGGAATTCTGTGGTGATTAGGAGGTAACACAAATCTGTTTTGCAAACTTGTTAAAATCTTCATACAGGAAGTAGGTTTAATCCTACTAGAGTACATTTGACTGTAGGAATGTGCCTTCCGCCTGGCTGCCCTTCACACCACCTGGCTGGAAAACCTGGTACTGCCGTGTCCGGAGGGGCTACAAACCTGAAATTAAATCTTTGTAACCTAGTACAGCCCGCACAGGGCGAGGCCCCAAGCCAGGTCACTTTGGGCCTTGCAGAAACCAAGGGCACATCTCCCGAACCCTTGGACAGCCCCGCAGGCGGTTCCTGGCACCTTATTCTCGTGAAGCGACACTCCAAGCCGCTGCCCCCTGATCTAAGGCTCCCATCGATCGCCCGGCCACTCTGCGGGCGCGTACCCAGCTCCTCGTCAAAACAAGGCCACCCCCCTCCCCCCAGCATCTCCCACAACGCCGCTATTAGCCAGGCTCTCTCCGCCTTTTTAGGCCCCGACCCCACAACGACTGTGCTCATTTCTATCTTCTGGGATGCCTCTCTTAGAACTCCGTCACCTTCCTCCCTTCTCCCATTGTTTGGCCTCCCAAACTGGGCGCCTGCGGCAGCTTCGCTGAAACACGCCTATTCGGGTGGGTCCTAAGTAGTCGCCTCACCGGCCTAGAGCCTCCCAGACCAGGTCCCGGCAGAGGAAGAGCGTTGGTGGGGCGCACTGGACCGCGGAGGGGCGGCGTGAATTCTCCGAACCGGTTTTACGACAACGTGCGGCTGCGCAGAGTGGCTGACGGCAAAGCCGCGCTGCTCTAGGAGAGGTCACTCCGGAGACCATCTAGGTTTTGGGGCGTGGGGGGAATCAGTGGCATTATGTGGCGCGTCTGTGCGCGACGGGCCCAGAATGCAGCCCCAGGGACGGGACTCGGAGCTCGATGGACGGCCTCGCGGGAGGGATCTGCAGCTCAGTGTGTGAGCCGGCGGTCTGGCCCCGCTCGTTGCAACAGCACAACCACAAGGTATGGCGGGGTCCGGGCATTGGGCGGCTGGAGCCCCAACTCTGGCGCCACTCCGCGGAACCGCTTACTGTTGCAACTTCTGGGCTCGTCTAGCCGCCGCAGTTATAGTCTCCCCCCGCATCAGAAGGTAAGCTTTCAACCTGGGATCCGGTTGCCCTTCAGGGCACTCTTCTTGGCCTTGGGAACCTCCAGAGGCCCCAGTGATCTTCCAACTCCTCCCCAGTATCTGTCATCGCGCCTTGTCCAATACCTAGCTTTGCTGCAGCTCTTGAACGCCCTTCTTAAGGTCTGTTCCATTCCAAGGAGAGTTCCAAGCCTTGGGCTGTGTGTTAAACATCTGCTGAGGTTAGGGCTTTGTCAGACCCACTAGACTGTGGAGGAGGAAGTCTGCCACTGGAAATAATGAACTTCTGGTAGGCAAGAACTCCCTTTCTATCTCCAGGACCCAGTGTGTAATGGGACTCAGTAAACTTTTTGCATGAAATTGAATTGAGTGAAACCTTAAAGGAGGCTGAGAATTAAGCAGCTCTTGTTGATTTAATGCTTTTCCTTTTTCTCTTCCAGGTTCCGTTGCCTTCTCTTTCCCCCACAATGCAGGCAGGCACAATTGCCCGTTGGGAGAAAAAAGAAGGAGAAAAAATCAACGAGGGCGATCTAATTGCAGAAGTAAGTTTTAAAATATGGAGATGAGTTCGAAGGGGCTGGATGTGCTGAACAGCTTTGTAGCTTTAAGGATGCATAATATACCCTTTGCTTAAGAAACAGATTTTTTTACCCCCACAACATGATATTAGAATTGGTTAAATAAGTGGTCGGTCAGCAGCTGGCTAAACTGATCTTTTTTTTTTTTTTTCTTTTTTGGTACCAGGATTGAACTCAGAGGCACTTAACCACTGAGCCACATCCCCAGCCTTTTTATGTATTTTATTTAGAGACAGAATTTCACTGAGTTGCTCAGGCCTTTGCTAAGTTATTGAGGCTGGCTTTGAACTCAAGATTCTCCTGCCTCAGCCTCCAGAGTTGCTGGGATTACAGGTGTGCACCATCGCCCTGGCCCATACTGCTCTTTGTTTACTCAGTGCATTTTAAAAGAATTCTTTCTTTCAAGTCCATGATAATGGCTTTATTGTCATATGACTGTTGAACTGTATAATTCTAGACAGTTCTGAGTACTGGAAGTACAAATCTTAAGTTTCTGCTTTGTGTTAAAAGGTTGAAACTGATAAAGCCACTGTTGGATTTGAGAGCATGGAGGAGTGTTACATGGCAAAGATCCTTGTTGCTGAAGGTACTAGAGATGTTCCAGTTGGAGCCATTATTTGTATCACAGTTGGAAAGTAAGTAGAACCCTCACAATTTGTGAAAGTTCAGTGCTTTTCAGAATATTTTAACTAAGAATTGAGAAATAAGTAAAGGCTGTGTGTGTGTGTGTGTGTGTGTGTGTGTGTGTGTGTGAGGGAGAGAGAGAGAGACTGTGTGTGTGTGTGTGTGTGTGTGTGTGTGTGTGTGTGTGTGTGCGCGCCACAGTCTTAGCTGGGCACAAGATCACGAGCCACCACACACTTTGTAGATATAAACAGCAATTCTTTATTCCCGAACTCACACTGGCCTCTACACACGTTCTGGGGAAATCTGCGTTCTGCCGCCACAAAATTCATGTCCCATATGCTTTCTGAATTCCACGAGAACTCAAGGATCGGGCGTGCCTGAGGCAGCAGGAATGCCGTATTCCCAGCAGGAATAACCTTCAACCTGGAACTTCCCTAAACCCAGATTGTCTTAAACCGGGATACTTCCTAAAACCTGCAGGATACACCCTAAACCTGGATCCACCCTCGTCCTTGAGCAGGGTCACCTTTCTCAAACACACATGCAATGTCACAGCAAATTTCCAAGGCAAGTCCATTTAACATGGGGTACGCTGGCAAGGAAATTTCGATGCGTCATTCCTACTTGGCAATGGCCCTCAGCATGTGTGTGTGTGTGTGTGGTGTGCTGGGGATGGAACCCAGGGCCTTGTGCATGTGAGGCAAGCACTCTACCAACTGAGCTGTATATATATTCCCATCCCCTAGTAGAGACTTTTGAAGACTTCTGTGGGAGTTGAATTTACTTTATAACTCTTTATATTTACACATTCTTTCTTTTCCTTAGACCTGAAGATATTGAGGCCTTTAAAAATTATACTTTGGATTCCTCAGCAGCTCCTACTCCACAAGCAGCCTCAGCACCAACTCCAGCTGCTGCTACTGCTGCTGCATCTCCACCCACGCCTTCTGCTCAGGCTCCTGGTAGTTCATATCCCACTCATATGCAGGTGAGGCTCAGCTGAGTATTTGCTCTAAATGATTTAATATCTATATATTTTTCATAGATGGCTATCACATACTGGAAACTGGCATTAAATATGGTTAGGTTTTGTCATTTGTGAGTATATGGAGATTTAACCATGAAAATTGATAACCTTTGATCTTAGTTGTTATTTCCAGGTATGTAACTTAGACAATTCTTTTAACCTTTCTCCACTCAGCCTTGGTGTATTACACAGTATAATGCTTGGCAGTTCTTACTCAAGAACATTATGTTCCACAATTATACATTGTCGGTGGAACTGTGGACTAGTACAGCTACTCTAGAAAGCAGTGTGGAGATTCCTCTAAAACTAGGGATGGAACCACCATATGACCCAGATATCCCATTCCAGAGTATTTTCCCAAAAGACCTAAAATTGGCAAACTACAGCGACATAGTCGCATCAGTGTTTATAGCATCAGTGTTTATTCACAATAACTAAATTATGGAATCAAACCAGAAGCCTATGGATAGATGAATGGATTAAGAAATTGTGATATATGCCTGGGGTTGTAGCTCAGTGGCAGAGCACTTGCCTGGCACATGTGAAACAATGGGTTTGATCCTTAGTACCATATAAAAGTAAACAAATAAAATGAAGGCATGCTGTCTATCTACAACTACAAAATTTTTTTTAATTGTGATATATATATATATACACACACACACGCACAATCATTCAACTCAATCAATAAAAAGAATGTAATTATGGCATTTGCCAGTAAATGGGTAGAAAGGGAGATTATCATTCTGAGTGAAATTAGTCAAACTCAGGAACTCAAAGGTTGAATGTTTTTTTCTCATGTGTAAGCTAGAGTAAAATAAAGGAAAGGGGTAGGGAAGAATAAAATTACATAAGGAACCAATTAAATACAAGTTAATAGATGATTAAAAGGAAGTCTAGTGGACTAGCAGAGGAAAAGGGGAGCAGGGTGGGGAGGACAGGAAGGAAATCAAGGGCTCATGAATTGAAATAGATTTCCATGCATGAGTATGTTTGTTGGGATAAACCCAGCTATTATGTATAACCATAAAGCCCTAAGGGGGCGGGGAAACACAAAAAGAGCTGAGTGTCAAGGTGCATGCTTGTAATCCCAATGGCTCAGGAAGCTGAGGCAGGAGCATCTCAAGTTCAAAGCCAGCCTCAGCGTCAGCGAGGCACTGAGCAACTTAGTGAGACCCTGTCTCTAAATAAAATAAAAATTAGGGCTGGGGATGTGGTTCAGTGGTTGAATTCCCCTGAGTTCAATCCTTGGTACTCCCCCCTGCCAAAAACCCATAAAACATTATGTTCCAGATTTTGAAGGTGATTTTACTTATGTTTACTCCCTGTACAAATGGAGTGTCATCTGTTGAAAGTCCTCAGTTGGTGTTGTTATTGTCAGGGTGTCCAGTTGGGTTCCAGGTCCTTGGTGTCCCCAACAAAGAATTGAGCAAGACACACAAGTAACAGGTGAAGTATAGATTTATTGAAGGTAAAGATGGAAGTAGCACTCTGTAAGGTAGAGCAGAGTGAGTCTAGTAAGAGAGAGCTTCAAGGCCGCAATGTTTGGAAATTAGTGTTTTATTTAAAAGTCTAAGAAGACAGCAGATGAACTGTGAGGCATTTTCTTCCCTATATGGACCTGATGGAAGATCTTACTGGTCACCTTATGAGACCTGGTTAGAATATTTTCAATTTTCTGAATTAGTTATTTTAGAAAACCTAATTAGAATACTGCTCAGTTTACTCCATTGGTCATTTTAAAATACTGAACCCATGGCAGGAGTTGGCATGGTAATGTCAACAGAGACATAACTCACCTCCCTGTGTTGTCCTCCAGCGCATCCTTCTTTTATACCCTGCCTCTGCCACCTTGGTGTCCCTGAACTCCTGCCTAAGAGTGTTTTCCTTTGACATGTGTTGGTCTACTTTTGCTGAATAGGTGAAGTACTTCTGTAGTATTCATAAATGACAATAAAGAGTAAATGTGCAGTAAACACATAGAATAGCACTGCAACAAAACTGAAAGCTATAAATGCAGTCACTGTTGATTGTACTAAGTCACTTTCTAAGAAATTAAATGAGTTTATATTAGAGTAGTCCTGTGTATATTTGTATATTTTTAATGTTGAAATTGGATAAAAAAACTAGTTATCCTTTTTCTAAAGGATTAATATCTGAACTTTCTTTAACTTTTTTTTTCTTGAAAATTTTGTTTAAGAATCATTTTCTTCATTGGAAGTAATGTTCCACTTCAAGGACTATTAGTAACAATCACTTATGATGAAATTTTACCTGGTCTTACAATTCACACAGTTATATCATCCTGTTCAACAGATTCTATCTCATTACATAAGACCTCATTTCTATCCATTTTATGTCTGCGGCTTTGTATGCAAATGTATAAGTGTTGGGTTGTGCCTTAATTATTGAGATTATCGGCTCTAGTCTTTGGTTTTTTTGATTGAACCCAGGGGTGCTTAACCCCTGAGCCACATCTCCGGCTCTTTTTTATATTAGCGACAGGGTCTCAGTCCGAGGATGGCTCTGATCCTCCTGCTTCAACTTCCTGAGCCACTGGAATTACAGGCATGCACCACCAAGCCCAGCTCCAGTCATTTTTAAGAAACAGATGAAGATGGCAAATTTTGAACAAACAAAGCATTTTTAAAGAATTTTCAGTCTTGTTTTACTTTTTCCCCCCTTCTGGAGACATCTTTGATTGAAATTACTTTCCCCTCAACATCATACTATTCAGTATTGCTAATTAGATACAAAAGCCTAAGAAGACAGCAGATGAAGTCCATTATAACTGATGGACTGAATAACCATCCACATTCAGTGTGCACACAAACTATAAAAATAAGAAATCAATTTTTAATTAATTAATTTTTACAAAGGTGCAAAGATCTAAGACCATTTTTATTTTGATGAAATGCATATTATCTAAATTTTTCTTTGCTTGCTTGTATTTTGGTGTCAAATCTAAGAATCCTTTGCCAAATCTGAAGATATTCCGCTATGTGTTCTTATATGATTTTTGGGAGATTGACTATATACCAACTCAAATGGCAAAGGGGCTACAGATATAGCTTGGTGGTAAAGCATGTGTTTTGCATGCACAAGACCCTGGGTTCATTCTACAGCAACACATTAAAAACAAATAAAATATATATAAGAAGTAATATACACATAAAGAGAAGTCTAATCCATAATTTGCAACAGCCAGTCCAGGAAGCCAAACAATATCCTCTGCAGTGTTTTTCCTCAAAGTGACCAGAGATAGTTAATAACTGCCAGGTTCTTTTTTTTTTTTTTAATATATTTTTTTTAGTTGTAGTTGGATACAATATTGTTAATTAATTAATTAATTATTTTATGTGGTGCTGAGAATGGAACCCAAGACCTCACCTGTGCTAGGCAAGCTCTCTATTGCTGAGCCACAACCCCAGCCCCCTGCCAGTTTCTTTAATTTTTGTGCCTCCTTCCAACTCAAGACCAACCAGAGGTATTTTTAATTTTTAATTCAGATGTTTCCATTTTGTTGGTGTGGAAAGGACTATTATAAGAACAGTTTTTGAGGAACTGGGAGTGTAGCTCAGCAGTAGAGCACTGTTTAGCATTCATGAAGCCCTTGTTTAATCCCTAGCACCCTCCCACAAAGAAAAACCCAAAATAAAATTTAAAAAAGACCTACAGTTTTAAAAAATTTTTAGTTTAAAGAATTAATTTAAATGGACATAAATTCTTTGAATTTATAATTATAATGTTTTGAAATATGTATACATTGTGAATGGTGAAATTGAATCAATGTACATTTTTATTAACTATAGTCTCCAAAGAATAGTTCTTACTGGTTTTGTAAATCTTACGTCTAGGACGTTTGGGACAAATGTGGTTTTCTTTGGGTGAAAAGATGTATGGAGCACAGTAAAATTTTAGCAGAGGAGTTCGGACCAGATCAGTTTGTTAAAAAAAAAAAAAAACCTTCCATCTTTTTTGTTTGTGTGTGGTGCAGAGCCTTATAAATACTGTGCAAATACTCTACTACTGACTGCATCTCCAGTCCTTTTTATCTTTTATTTTGAGACAGGATCTCACTAAGTTGCCCAGGCTGGCCTGGAACTTGTGATCCTCTTATTCAGTCTCCAGAGTGGCTGTGATTTCAGGCTTGCACCACCATATCTGGCAAAAAAAATTCTTTTTATTTATTTATTTATTTTTTAGTTTTAAGTGGACACAATACGTTTATTTTATTTTTATGTGATGCTGAAGATAGGACCGAGAACCTCACGCATGCTAGGCAAGTGCTCTACCTCTGAGCCACAATCTTATCCCCTCCAGAATTCTATCTTAATCTAAATGTTATAGAAAGATGAAAAGATGCTCTATGATTAGATATTTATTGGGGAAATTGACTATCTGGAAAAAAATTCTTCCCATTTACCTGTTACTTTGAACTTTGGATGGTGTATCTGCGTATGGCTGATGCGCTTTAACGCTTGAGATGATCTGAAGGAGTATTTAACTGGTGGAAAGCTCTTGAGGCACTGAGCTTTCGATGTGATGACTGTTTGGACTCTCAAAGTTACTATCACTCCCTGAAACTGTATAAGGTTGCCTGAGTGCTTTATGTCCAATGCTTCTTAATATTAAGCAGTATTATGTATTTACTTCTACAGGTACTTCTTCCTGCCCTTTCTCCTACAATGACAATGGGTACAGTTCAGAGATGGGAAAAAAAAGTGGGTGAGAAGCTAAGTGAAGGAGACTTATTGGCAGAAATAGAGACTGACAAGGCCACTATAGGTGAGATTTCTTCAGCTCTTAATGGTTGAGGCACTAAGTTTTCCAGTGAGCAAGAGGATTGTCATTCTTTCTTGTCACAAGTGAATGATGTTGTAAAAATTTTACAATTTTTAGGATTCATTTCCTGGGACAAGAGTTTTATAACAAAAATGTATATGGTCAAATTTGTCAGGTACATATCACATTCATTGAATCAAGAAGAATGTCAACTCAGATTATTCTTAGGCCAGAGTTTGCTTCTTAGCCTTATTTTTATGTTACTGAAAAGCTATATCATAACTGCCATTGTCTAAACTGGGCAAAAAAACAGGAGAAAATCACTCCCAAGGCAGGAAAATATAAAAATATTTAAGATGGCTTCAAGGGAAAGCTGAAAACCAGGGTTTAGATTGTTTTCATAGTTTGAAAATGACATGCATATTAATCTGTTTCAATAGTACATTTCCATGTTTCCCCCTTTTTTGATTTGTTTTTATGCTCAGAAATAAAATGCATATAGATAATCTTATATTTGTGATAATATTTAGGATATTTGTAGGTATTATGAATTTCTTGCCCTTTTCTCCAGTTGTCAATAAAGGAAGCCTGTCTGTTCTACAGAGATGTAGTAGAAGATCCTAGGCATCTTCTGCAATAGTACTTGGCAGATTGTATTCTCTTAAACCCCATCATTACTCACTGGCATCTTGGCAAAGGAGAATTAAAGAGTAGGACCCTACAATGCCCCATTTCCCTCCCCTACTCTACCAGAACAGTTCTTTTTCTTTTGTAAATTGTAGTTCTCCATAAATGAGTGTTTTTTGGGGGAAGATGGTTATTTATCTAGGAGTCAAAACTTATTTATCTTCTCCAGTGGCTTCTTTTAGTTTTACTTTTGCAACTCTAATTCTTGGTTTCTTATAAGAAAAGCAGTAGCTGAATAAAATATAAGTTGTCAACACCGTAGACATTCCAGTAATGTTGCATTTTTTCACATTGAAATATTTAGTATAACACTAAATATAACCTCTTTGAAAAGCCCCAAGGAAACTTTTAGAATTGAACTTGAACATCACTGTTCATCTGGGATGTTTTTTAATTTGACATCCATGTGGCTGTGATTTTTATCTGTACAGCTGACACTATCTTGAAGTCTTGTAAGTCTGCATGGGATCTGCCCTTGGAGATATTTTTAATAACTAGTTTAAAAACTAATTATTTTCTCTAATCTCTGATAGTTTTATTTAGCAGATACAGTTGCTCCTCAGAATCCACAGGGAATTGGTTCCAGAATAAAAATCTGTACATGTTAAGCTCAGATGCATTATTTTTTTCAAATGATTTTAGTCCTGTGGATTTGGAGGGTTAGCTGTATTTGTACCAGGTATTGTTTCTAAGTTCTTAAGAAATATTCATTTAAATTCATTAAAATACCTGAAGTAGGTATAGTCATCCCTTGGTATCTAGAGGGGGGCGGGGAATTGCCCCCCCCAATCTGCAGATAATTAAATCTCTTATATAAAATGGCATAATATTTGCATAGAATTTATATGCATTCTCTCATATTTGCCATATATTTGTTTTTTGTTTTTTTGTTTTTTCTTTTTGATGTGCTGGGGATTGAACCTAGGGACTTGTGCATACTAGGCAAGACCTCTGCTACTGAGCTATTCCCTGACCCTTCCTATATACTTTAACTAATTTCTGGGTTGCTTCTATTACCTAATACAGTAAAAACTAAGTAAGTAGTTGTTACATTATATTGTTTAGGGAATAATGACAAGAGAAAAAAGTATATACATCTTCAGTATAGATGCAATTATCATAGACTTAACTCAGGAACAGTATAAAATTTTGATCTATAAATAGTTAAATCCAATGATGACTGTTATATAATTTTGCCCATTTTATAAAGAAACTGAGGTCCAGATTAAATAGCTTATAAAAAGGCTATGTAACTAGTTAGAATGAAAAAAGCCTGTACTTAAAACTCTACTGTGAGTTTGTATTAATAGTAGAGTCTTTTAATTACCATATTTTTTTTCTTTCTATTTAAGGTTTTGAGGTACAGGAAGAAGGTTATCTGGCAAAAATCTTGGTTCCTGAAGGCACAAGAGATGTCCCTCTGGGAACCCCACTTTGTATCATCGTAGAAAAAGAGTCAGATATAGCAGCATTTGCTGATTATAGGCCAACTGAAGTAACTGATTTAAAACCACAAGCACCACCACCTACCCCACCTCCGGTAGGTATGGCTCCAGAATCAAGGGAGCATTTATCCTGTTAAAGAATAAATTAAAGGGATGTGATTAGATGATATCCTAGGTTCCTTTGAGCTCCAAGATTATATGAATAGGGAAGGGAATAATAGGTTAACATTTGTAGGGTTAGTTGGCACTGTGCCATGCTTTTAATGGTCAGTAGTTTGAGCCTTCTAGCTTTTTTCCCACTGCTGTCTTGAGTCCTGCTGAGAAAAATGTGGAGGTGACATAGTCACATTTACTATATGATGCCTGACATTTCTTATCCTTTTAGGTATTTACATTTTATAGTAGGTCAATATATATTTGTAATGCACTGGAAGCTTGACAAGCATACTTGTTTTGCATAGAATTTGGTATATTACCATATACAATGTATTGTACAGTATACATCTATAACATGAACTTGTGTGAACTCAAAGTATAGATAGATAACACAATGAAGCTTCTGCAGATGCTAGAATCATGTGAGTTCAGACTAGGTGCACATTACTGTAGGAGAAAATTTGATTTCTGTGTGTCCTTCATTCACAGGGAGCGAGAAAGTAGCAGTGTTAGTTTATTTTTTTAGATACTTTTCAACTTGGAACATTCTAGCATAATTTTGTATTTTGAAATTTGATTAAATAAAGACAAAAGCTATGTTGGTGATGTACTTAATCAGTATAAAGAAATGGCAAGTGATTGAAGTGAAGAGAGGCTATAAGGATATTATATAGTGGTCAGCAGTATTAAATTCAGTACCTCTCCATGTTTTCCTAAGATAACTTGACTTTGTTCTGTCTTTGTCATAAAAGATTGTTTTTGCTGTTCCTATTGTTACACTGTGTTGGTTAAGCAGAAAGAAAGATCTTTGGGGAAGAGGATGCATGTTATTTAATTAAAATACCTTTTAATTTATTCATAAAATATACACTTAAATCTTTCAGACCAATCTTTGCATTAATAATTTGAAACTTTTTTCAAAGGTGGCCCCTGTTCCTCCAACTCCTGCACCTTTAGCTCCTACACCCTCAGCCACCTTTCCAGCTGCTCCTGCTGGACCAAAGGGAAGGGTATTTGTTAGCCCTCTTGCAAAGAAGTTGGCAACAGAAAAAGGAATTGACCTTACACAAGTAAAAGGTAAGACTCTGTCTATGGCATGGAGTTGTAAAGTTAAAATATAGTTGAATTTCCTCTTTGAAACCAGTGCGTACAACTGTATATAATAATAAGATGATGAGGGAGGAAAATACCCCTTTATTGTCTCCACAGAGTAGGGAAACATTATTATGTTTTATTTAGTCTTCTTAGGATCTTCCTGAAGAATTTAGATTCCTTTTAAAAATTGCCCTACCTTCATGGGAACTGCTTAATTGTTAGTGAAAATACACATTTTTGCTTAGCAAAGTTGGGTTTTAGGACCTGGTTTTGTAATAAGAAGATATTTTTATTAGTGCTAGGTTTACTGAATGTAACAAAACAAAACATGAAGTAGGGATGATTTTAAATGACTTAAAATAATAAAATTCGTATAAAACTGAACTAAAGCTCCCTAAGGGCACGGGAAAAAGCTTTATTCATCTTTTTTTCCCCAAAGTAAACATACAGCTTAGCCAGCTGTGGGGTGGTGCATGCCTGTGATCCCAGTAACTCAGGAGGCTAAGGCAAGGCTAGCCCCAGCGACTCAGCAAGACCCTAAGCAATTTAGCAAGACCCTGTCTCAAAATAAAAAACAAAAATGGCTGGGGATGTAGCACAGTGATAAATCACTTGGGTTTGGAATCTTAGCTTTTTATTGTTTTCTATGTTTTCATCTTTAGGTGAATGACTACTTAGCTTATCTATGTCTTTAGATGAATTTAAGATAGTAATGTATATAGAGAATGATGAGAATTAAATGTGTTATAAAGGTGAAGTGCTTAGAAAAGTATCTAGCATGTAAGTACTCAATATGTATTTGTTGTCATTCATATTGTTACTATTACCTGGCACATAAATTCTTGTATTCTTGGATAAACTTAAGCTAGTTTAATATAAAGTGATTTAAATACTTACTTGGAAAAGGAGGGGAATTAGTATTCTTGGAACCTGGTTTCATGGCTAATGCTATGTGTTGGTCATTTAATGTACCACATTTAATTTGAACAACAGTTTCTAAAGTAAGAATTAACCATTTTTTTGGGTAAGAACAGAATCTTAAGGAATATTCCTATTTGTTACATAATGAAGTTGCAATTTGAATCTGGATTTGTTATATCTCTAAAGTCTGTTTTTTTCCCACCACCTTATGCTGCCATAATTACCGAGGAAAAATATGGCTGGTTCCCCAGTTGCCCAGCTATGGGCACTCAGTGCTGGTTATCATCTGCCTGCAAACTACTATTTTGTAGTTAAAAGTCAAGCCAATCCCAAATACAAGGATAGAAAGTTATAAATTGTTTGGACTTCACAGGATTCTTATAATATTGGCAGACTCTTTTTTTTTTTTTTTGTCCGTCTTATGCTATTTCACTTGTATGTTGCCATTCCTTTCGTATATATGATTAGAGTCAAGATAGCAGTGTTAGTGGGAATAAATTTTGAAGACAGAAGAGGGACTAGATTATTATTTATATCTGAAAAATTTAAACAAGTTAAGAAAGACCATTCATTAGATAGTTGGCAACACTAACTAATGAGATAAGAAGGGAAAATTCCATTATTTTTACTATGCAGGCAGTTAGGTTTTTCATTTATTATTATTTAAGCAAATATTCATCAAGTTCTATATACATCAGATCCTTGTTCATAAGATTTTAGTTTCATTTGCCTGCATGGTCGACAGTAAAGAAATAAGCTGGGTGCAGTGGCACCTGCCTATTATCCCAGCAGCTTGGGAGGCTTAGGCAGGAGGATCACAAGTACAAAGCCAGCCTCAGCAATTTAGGAGGCCCTAAGCAACTTATTAAGACCTTGACTCAAAAAATAAAAAGGGTTGGAGATGTGGCTTAGTGCTTAAGTGGCCCTGGGTTCAATCCCTGGTACCAAAAAAAAAAAAAAAAAAAAAAAAGTGAACAGAAAGGAGATATATAGCTTAGTAATTAAGAGTGGGCTCTGATCCGAGGGAGGGAGGAGAAGAGGGAAAGGGAAGGTTCTGGAGAATGAGAATGATCAAATTATGTTATGTGCATGAAGTGTGGGCTCTGGAGCTTGATTGCTTGAGTTTAAATGTTAGCTCTTTTAGTACTAGCCATGTGAACTTTGTGTCTCATTCTCTTCATTTGTGTATAAAAATAATACCTGATTTGTTATGAGGATTACATGAGTAAATAAATGCCTGTGCAGAGAAAGAATATTTAGGTATTAGCTATTATGGTAATATATTTTATTAAATGATGATTTCAGTGTTAAGAAAGAAATAAGCTGAGTGATATACTAGTGACAGGATAAATATATGAATGGTCATGACTACTTTTAGACATGGTGGTTAGAGAAGATCTTTTGGATGAAGTGACATTTGATCTGATTGAAAGATGAGGAGTCAGCTTTGGGCCAAGCATGTGAAGTACAGAGGAAAGATCATTTGGGGCAGAGAGACCAGCAGTATACAATCTAAAATGGAAAAGAACTTGACATGTTCGAAGAATGTAGTGGAACATGGGGAGCAGTGGGTCTGGTATAGTGGTAGAAGATGAATGAGTGGGGGAAGAAGCACAGAGATGAGATTATTATGAACCTTATAGATCTTGATCAAGAGTTGAAATTTCATTTAAAGTATAATAGGAAGTCATTGAAAGACATAAGCAAGGAAGTGAAATAAAATGATTTATGTTTTTTAAGAGAATATTTTGGTTGCTTTGAAGAAATGGATTAAATGAAAGCCAAGTTATCTGTTTAGGTGGCTGGAGCTAATGATGATAGCTTAAACAAGGGTGGTGAAAATAAAAAGAAATGAACAACTTTAAGACACATTTTTTAACTGGAATCAACAGAACTCAATCAAGGATTTTGTAGAGGACAACAGTAATTTCAGAAGAATGATTGAGTGGAAACCTATCTGAATAAGTCAAGAAGTAGATGTGAAATGGAGAGAGAGGATTGTGGACAACTCATTCAAGAAGTCTAGCTGTTGCTGGGCATGCTGGCTCACGCCTTCTATCCCAGCGGTTCAAGAGGTTCAGATAGGAGGATCAGTAGTTTAAAGCCAGCCTCAGCAACTTAGTGAAGCCCTAAGCAACTCAGTGAGACCTTGTCTCTAAATAAAATACAAAAAGCAGCTAGAGATAGTAAGTGCCCCTTAGTTTAATCCCTGGTACTGAAAAGGGGAGAAAAAAAAAAAAAGCTTGCTATGAAGAAAGGCATAGGAATAATGATAGCTTTAGATGAATGTGGACCTAAGAGGATTTTTGCTGCGCATGGTGGCAAGTGCCTGTAATCTCAGCAATTTAGGAGGCTGAGGCAGGAGGAGCATAAGTTGGAGGCAAGCCTGGGCAACTTCACAAGACTATCTAAAAATAAAAATAAGAAGGGCTAGGGATGTAGCTCAATGGAAAAGCATTCCTGGATTCTACACTCAATCCTGAAAAAAAAAAAAAAGTAAAAGTAAAGTAAAATATATGTAGGGAGGGCTTTTGAAGATAAGTGTTAGAATGAATCTAGTATGGAGTTCCTCAGTAGTGGCACTATTGATTTTTTTTGACCAGGTAATTTTTTGTTGTATGTGGGCTGTGACCTGTACATTATATGATGTAATGTTCTTGGCCTCAATCTAGTAAGGTGGTAGTTCCAATCTCTACTTAGGACAAACAGAAATGTCTTAAGACATTATCAAGGATTCCCTGGGGAGCTAAATTGCTCTCCTTGAGAATCAGTGGCCTAATAGAAAAGGATCAGTGGATGACATAGAAGAGGATTATGAGCAGAATGGTTTCACAAGGAACAAAGTTCTTAAGAAGGAATTCGAAAGGGCTGTGGCTGTGGTTCAGTGGTAGAGCACTTGTCTAGTATGCGTGAGGCACTAGGTTTGATCCCCAACACCACATTAAGAAAAAAAGAAGAAGGAATGTAATTGGCCTTTATAGAAATTAAGAACATTTTTATCTATTTTCATAGGAGAGAAAATATAGGATGGCTTTATCAGTTTGGTGGTAAAAGATGACAAGAGTTCCTTTTTGGTCACTACTGTTTGATAAATAAATGTGAAATGAAGATATTAGCTGGTTAATGAGTGAGGAAATTTTTGTAGTTAGAGCAATTAGAAAGTAGTAGCCTCAGAGATCAGAAAGGTGAATTTAAAGGAAATGATTGCATTTCTGGGCAGTTTTGTGTATCTGTTTTAGGTTTATGTTTCTGTTTGTGTTTGTATTTCTATATAGCAACATTAAGTTGCTCAGTGTTGACACTGAGAAAGATAAATAGACTTAGGGTTTTGCAAAGGAGGATTATAAGAATAATCCATAGAATGTAAACTGGGTTAGGAGGAAAGTGAAGACCAGAGGGAGGTCATGGATAATGAGAGTAAAGGAATCAGTGGAGTGGTATCTTGATGAGGCAGAAGTGATTATGTTTTCATTGGGGGAAGGGTGTGGTCTGGGCTAAGTGAGCTTAGAGTATCAGTATCAGTTATTGTGTGTTTTCTGACACCAAATGCTTGGTATCCCCATATCCTTTAATTCTCTGATGCCAGCTGGGTGTCCAGGAATTCAGTCCAATTTTGACATTAGCTACCTAGATTTGGCATGAATCCACAGGGCTCAGTCCTGTAAGACTCCCTTTACTTCAGTTACTTTCAGTTGCCAGGCCTGGGTGTCATCTTTATGTCTTAATCATTAGTTAGTAATCAGGAATCCCCAAGAACCTCTTCTCAGGTTTGGTGATTTGCTAGAACAACTCACAGAACTCAACACTACTTACTACTATTGATTTGTTATAAAGGATATAGCTCAGAAACAGCCAAATGGAAGAGATGCATAGGGCAAGGTATAGTGGGGAGGGGTACATAGAACTTCCATGCCTTCTCTGGCATGCCATTCTCACAGCACATGGATATGTTTACTAACCTGGAAGCTCTCTGAATATCACTGTTAAGGAATTTTTATTTTCAGTGTTGGGTATATAGCTCAGTGGTAGACGTTTTGTCAGTTCCCAGTACTGGAGGAAAAATGTTTATTTTCATAGACATGTCATTACAAAGACATGATTGACTAAACCGTTTGCCATTTTGTCAATTGAACTCAATCTTCAATCTTCTTTCCCAGGAAGTGGGGCAGCAGAGGAAGAAGGAGATAGGGAGAGAGAAGGGAAAGGGGATTGAAAGTTAATTACCCTCAATCATGTGTTTGGTCTTTCTGGCTGACTACCCCGATCCTAGTAGCTATCTAAGAGCCCAACCTAAGGCACTTCCTTAGCAAAAACTCTGGTGTGGTATGAAGGGGCTCATTATGAGTAATAGAAGACACTTTCCACTCAGGAAATTCCAAAGGTTTCAGGAGGTCCATTCCAGGAACCTAGAACAAAGATCAAATATATTTTTTATTATATCACAGTGATGGCATTAGTAAGATGGTTGCTTGAATTCTAGATTCAGAGATATCTAGAATTACTAGTACTAGTTTAAGTACTAGTTATAATATAGTCTAGGATTTGACCTTAGAGGTTGGGGGTGTTCTTGTGGGTGGGAGGGAAAAGTTGGAGCTGAGTAATTTAGAAATCTGGGTTTTGAGTGGATTGTGGTTCCCAAGAGGACAGTGTGTTAAGATGCAATTAATCTGAGTAAATGGGAATAGTTATGAATTGGTAGATGAGACAGACATGAAGAAGAATAGGCTGTATAACCAGATGACATGAACTTCAAAAGGGGTTGAGATTTTTGAGGAGATAGAAAGTTTTAGAATTAGCTAGGAGGAGTAGCAAGGATACTTAATCCACATCCCAACTCTGAGCAGCCTTATGTGAGAAAGAAAAAAAAATAAGCCCAATTAAGGAAAAACTAAGGGAAAAGTTGAGTAAATCAATAGATTGTTTTGCAGATTTGACCAAAATATAATTAGTTAGGGAAAAACTATGTTGAACCCTAAACCTTGGTTCAGAGTTTGATTAGACTCAAGGCTGCCCATGTAATATTTTATATTTCTTTCATGCACAGAACTTTTTACATCCCTATCCCATTTTGTCTTCACAACTTTCCTGTGAGCGGGGTTGATATTATAATCTCTGACCTACAAGTGAAAATGAGGACTAGATGAGACTATGTAACTATAGTCATCTGTCTAGTTTATGTTAGATAAGAACTCTCCATACTTTACTGCTTGTTCACTGTTCTTCCCTTTATGTCATTTTGTTTTATGAGTGTCTGCTATGTCTTCTTAGGCAGAGAGGCAAAGAAGGGTAAAAGGTTTCAGTTAATTACTATCGGTTAGGAAGTTCTCATAGGTGGCTGAAGCTTGGAATAAGGCAGGTGATGCTACAGGTTTCCTCCCTGGTGGGGCTGCACATCTCAGTGTCTAGCTCAGCTTTGGTTATAAGGGGAGGTTATGGTTTCTATCTTTTATAAAGGAAGATAATCTAATAGGGATGCTGACACCTCTGTTCTAGAGCTCCTGGTGAGGATAAACACAGTCCTAGCCAACTCAGTTTTCATATTGAAGGAAAGGAATTGGGAAGAACTGCACACAATGAGAGCCCTTTTAAAAGTCTGCCATGGGGAAGATGAATCAATTTGACCAAATTTTTTCTAGAAGTGGGCCAGTATAAAAGGTATTATAATAACTAAAGTCTGAATCTATCAAAATTAAAGGTCAGGATTATGTCCTTGGGTCTAACATTAAATGTATGCTGTTACAGATTGGAGGAGGGGGGAAATTAAATAAAAATAATACTAAATCTCTTAAATCTATGGAGAGTACTTGGAGAGGTCCTTCCTCATATGTGGCATTGTACCCGATTCTTTGTTTCTAATCAGTAGCTTTGGCTACTGTGAGAAAGCTGTGAATGTCTGAGACCACCTAAGGAATGAATAGTCCTCAAGATGAGATAATTAAAGTTAAAATTCATGCTATTGGGGGGTGAAAATTTGACGAGCCCAATTTGTCCAGACAATTACTCACATATCTGTCAACCCTGTAGAGAGAATTTTTTTTTTTAAAGAGAGAGTGAGAGAG